CATCCAGTTCGTGGACTGGTGCCCCACTGGTTTCAAGGTGGGCATCAACTACCAGCCGCCCACGGTGGTGCCCGGGGGCGACCTGGCCAAGGTGCAGCGCGCCGTGTGCATGCTGAGCAACACCACGGCCATCGCCGAGGCCTGGGCCCGCCTGGACCACAAGTTTGAYCTGATGTACGCCAAGAGGGCATTTGTGCACTGGTAYGTGGGGGAGGGCATGGAGGARGGAGAGTTTTCGGAGGCCCGTGAGGATATGGCTGCCCTGGAGAAGGATTATGAGGAGGTGGGGGCTGACAGCCTGGAGGGCGAGGAGGACGGGGAGGAATACTAGTGCCTTGTCTCTTGTGTTCCACTGCGGTGCTGTTCATTAAAATGGCTCTTTCCAATGTCGCCTGGTTCATTGTGCTGGGACAATCTGCCTTGTGGTGACCTGGGGGGACGTCCCAGGGGAGGGGGGGCCTCGGCTGGGCTGGCTGCCCGGTCTGGCTGCCAGCTGGCACAGGGGATGTGCTGGGGGGTTTTGTGGGTTGGGGGTCTCTGGTGGGTCCTGTGCTGTGAGCTGCCTGCAGTGGCGGTGGGCTCATGTTCTCCTGACCATTCTATTGTCCTTTGGGCTCACCAGGTGTGGGGGGACCCCTGAGAGCCCCCCGAGTCCTGCCCAGCGCCTTGGTAGGACCCAGCCCTGGTGCAGACAGGCACTGGACATGGTGCCGTGCTGCTGCTGGCACTGMGCCGCTCTCGGTGCGCTTCTCTGCAGAGCTGGGAGGGGGGTCCAGGGCGGGGGGGACCCTCCCCACAGCCTCTGGGCAGGGCACCGACTCCTTCCCGTAAGTGCCGCCCTGGCTGCCCGGAAAGGGGGGGTCGAGGGGGGGTTGCATGGCCAGTTGTCCTGCGCTGCCCCGMGCATGGCAGCTCCCGCAGAGCCGAGTCACGGCGGCCCCGATAAAAGGGGCGGGGGATGGATGGCAGTGCCCCCCTTCCCTGGGGGCGCTGAGCACCCCGGCATCCAGCTCAGATGGGTGCTCTGCCTGAGCCCCCAATCCCTCTCTGCATCCCAACTCGGGGGTCTGTACCCCCGTGCTACCTGGGGGGCACCCAAAAAGTTCCCMCAGCGCCTCTTCCTCTGACCGACGGGGGGTCCTGTGTTTTCTGGGCGTCATCGGCCCCTCTCCCCTCTGCCTGCACCACCGAGGGGGGACACACCAGCCCCCCGCCCTGCACCCCGAGGGGGTCCCCGAGTTCTCCTGAAGGTGAATGCCCGCAGCTCTGCATCCTGCAGCCCTGCCGCTCATCCCGAGGGGTGTCCCCGACCGCYCCCAGCCCCTTTCGCCTCCCCCCCGAGGGGACATCCGCAGCTCTTGATCCTCCCTCCGGCCGGGAGACCCCTCCCCTCTCTCTGCCCCGTACTCCCGGGTCCCCGCGGCGGGGCGGAGCCGCTGYCCGCTATAAACAGACGGTACCGGCAGCCGCCGCCCTCCCGGTGCAACCATGAGCCGCCGTGACCGCGACCCCGTGGCCCCAGGGCGGCTGGCGGCGGCGGCGGCAGCGCGGGGCGCGGAGCGGGAGGAACTGGCGGCGCTGAACGATCGTTTCGCCGCTTTCCTGGAGCGGGTGCGGGAGCTGGAGCGGCAGAACGGGACCCTCCGCGCCGCCCTGGGCCGCGCCACCGCCGCCACCGGGCCCCGCACCGGGCTGGTGCAGGGAGAGCTGCGGGGGCTGCGGGAGCGGCTGCAGCGCCTCGGCCGCGACCGGGACCGGCTCCAAGCTGAGCGGGACGGGCTCGCCACCGACCTGGCGGCCCTGCGGCAGCGGTGGGCCAGCGGCGGGGCCGGGGGAGGCAACGGGGTGGGGATTAAGGATGCGCTGGGATGGGGGATGAGCCAGGGTGGGGACTGAAGGATGCACCGGGGTGGGGACTGGAGGATGCACCAGGGTGGGCACTGAAGGATGCACCGGGGTGGGGACTGAAGGATGTACCGGGATGGGGACTGAAGGATGCGCCAGGATGGGGACTGAAAAATGCACCGGGATGGGGACTGAAGGATGCACCGGGATGGGGACTGAAGGATGCGCCGGGGTGGGGACTGAAGGATGCACCGGGATGGGGACTGAAGGATGCACCGGGATGGGGACTGAAGGATGCACCGGGATGGGGACTGAAGGATGCACCGGG